ACCTGGAACGAACTTGAAACAAAGAAGACTATAGTTGCGTAGTCACTTCTGAGGGCTAAGATGGAATGCCTCACGTCCTGTAATTGTACTGACTTTAAACAGGAACACAGCAGTTCTGCTATTGGGCGGTAGAAGTTGGTAAGAGAGTGGTACCTACCCAGACGGACTTCTGGATGGTAAAGGAGTCCAAACATCTTTTAAATTGTGACTTTGGTTTCTTTACCTACGCGAAACTTAAATTAAATGAACAAAACAAAAAATTATGATGAGGACTTAATAGTTAGTTGCATGGAACGGCATCTGCGGTTCTATTAGAAATGTTTGATGCCAATAATGGATCTTGTTACAAGGACTTCCCGCAGTTGAAACTTATTAAATCGATAACGTTGCATTTGACTTTTAAAAAGTGCTTTGTAAAAGCCAATTTTTAATAAAAAAATTATCTTTGACCATGACTTCGATGAGTATCTCGTTCGTATGGAAAAGTGTATATTTTGTGGTGATGAGTAGGTACTTTGAAAGACACGCTACACTTCCGTCCTCCTGATAATTTCGTTACTAACTCTTCCGCTGATTTAACATAATTAAGTACAGGAAGTTTAAAGCCACTTGCATATAAAATCACTGCTATATTTCCCTGAAATATTTTTAAACATAGTAGAGCCACGCTGCAGTTATATAATGGTTGTAACAAAAATGGGTCGATTCGACCGGGGAAGGACCAAGCTCTTACACAATATCACCATAAAGTGGCAGCTTAACGCTGCTATATTGTGTAATGGGAGTGTATAGAATCGGAGGCATTTTTAACTGGGAACGAGGCATTTCATCTAAGTGCTCATGGATGACAACGCATCTGCCTTTGGTTCTTAATCAATGATATATATAGATGTCTATGAGCCACTTACCATCAGGTGGACTATGACATTACGTGCCCATTTGTCAATCTTTTTTTATAAAATACAAGCTGTTCCCCGCGAGTTCGCCCGCGTGGAATTATTTTTCGCGGAACCCTTAAATAAAAGCAGCCCAAGTTACTCCTTATAACATCAGCTATCTGCCAGTGTGTATAAATATTGACAAATAATGACATTAAAATTTATACGATACTAACGTCACTCAATTGTTTTGCCTTCCCGGAACCCCTCCACTAACACCTAAAATTTAATGTATGGTATTAAAGTTCAAATTGTCTTTTAAGTATTATTACGAATCTTTTGTATGGGAATATAGAATTTTTTTTAACTTTTTCAGGCAATTTTTTAAATTTTTCTCTCCGTAAGAACCATCTTATAAAAAAAAATATAAAAAAAGAATTAGCGAATTCGGTTCAGCTGCTCTCGAGATTTGAGCTTAGCAACACATTCAGCGATTCATTTTTATATTATAGATATATCTAAAGAATGTAGCGTTGACCTTATTTTATTATTTATTATAAGCTATTGCTTTACTATACAATCCCGCTAGGTGGAAAATGGTGATAAAGCACTAAATGGTAAGCCGCACTGTTTTGAAAAGACCCAGATTGTAATAACAAATTATTATATTAACTCTAGGGAATGTGTACAAAAATATTCAAAATATATTTAAAAGAGTGTGCTCCACAGTCAAGTCTTTGCATTTGAGTAACAAAATTAAGACGGCTTCTAAAAAAATTAAAATGACATAGAGTAGAACTGGTAAGATCAACTCTCGCAATTCAAATTACCAGTTAAGTGTTAATAAGAAATTAACCGAATCAGATCAGGACATTGCAATGGTTTTTGAGAAATATTTTACTGATATTCCGATATTAACCACTAAGTCACTGAATTCTTCTCCTGCCGTCGCCGAATCATTACTTAAACAAAATGTAAATGCGTGTACAAAGAATTTTACATTTCATAAAGTATCATCAAATGATATTGTAAAATATTTTAAAACTATTGATGTTAAGAAAACTGCGGATCTGTGGGGGATTTCCGTTACAATTATTGCGTCTATAATAGATAGAATCGCGCCTCATTTAGCTATTATTTTTAATACTAGTATCGAATCTGGTGTGTTTCCTGATTTAATGAAGTAAAGTAATACCTTTATTTAAATCTGGTAGTACATTAGACCCCGCCAATTTTAGACCTATTTCTGTACTACCAACACTAAGATTAAGAAAAAAATATTCTTGATCAAATGTTAAATTTCTTTAATATAAATAATTTACTTTATAAAAATCAATAAAGTTTCACAAGGGGTCGCTCGACAACTGATGCCGGTGTTGAGCTGATTAAATATATCTTTAATGCATGGGAGAATTCACAGGATGCTTTGGGTATATTTTGTGACCTATCCAAAGCCTTCGATTGTGTTCACCATGAAACATTAATCAGGAAACTTTAACACTACGGTGTAAGAAGTAATGCTCTTAAATTAATTATTTCATATTTAAGTAAGAGAACGCAAAAAGTTGTCATTAAGAGTATGAGTTCTTCCGAGTCGATGGTACAAATGGGCGTGCCTCAAGGCTAAATTCTCGGCCCCTGTTTCATGTATACATTAATGACTTACCTTACATAGTAGGAGATAACCATGATATAGTATTATTTGCAGATGACACTTCTTTAATATTCAAATTAAGTTTAAGTAAATTAGTAATTAAGTCGACAATTATTAAAATATGACGAAGTAAATAATTCTACATCTAAATTAGTAAATTGGTTCAATATTGGTACTAAAACGAAATGTACGAAATTTATGACTACAAATGTCAAACAATTATATAGTAATGTAATTTTAAATGGGGAGAAACTGATTCCTGTAGATACCACCATTTTTTTGGAATCACACTAGACGCGAAGCTTCAATGGAGCCCCCATATATCAAAACTAGCAAGGAGACTTAGTTCTGGAGCATATGCCGTAAAAAAGATTAGAAGTCTAACTAGTGTTGAAACAGCTAGACTAGTTTACTTTAGCTATTTCCATAGCATAATGTCGTAAGGTATTTTGCTATGGGGACACGCAGCTGACACTGAAATTATATTTGTTTTACAGAAGAGGGCCATAAGAGCAATTTATGATTTAAAGCCTAAAGAGTCGCTGCGCCAAAAATTTAAGGAAATTAATATATTAACTTTGGCCTCTCAATACATTTATGAAAATGTAATGTACGAACACAAAAATAAAAGTAGTTTAACAAAAATAAGTGATATTCATTCTGTAAATACTAGGAACAGACACAAGCTAGTAGTACGAGTTACTCGAAACCATCGAGTCAGTAATTCATTCTTGGGGCGATGTATACGCTTTTACAACAAATTTCCAGAAAATATACAAAATTTGACCTGCTAAAAGTTCATAAACGTCATTAAACTAAGTTTTTATAAAAAGGGTTATTTATAATATTAAATAGTTTATAGATAATAATAACCCCTGGAAAGGTGGTGATCGCTACCAAGCTATTTCTAATTTGTTGTGTTGTTAATTTGTGTAACATACATGATTGTTAGCTGTTATTTAAAAAAAAGTCCCGTTGTGTTTCTTGCTGGTTCTTCTTGTGTGAGTGACTTTCAATAAGTATTATTTATAATCTATATTGAATAAAAAAAAGGTGTTCCAAAAGGCGAAACGATTTCCGTTTAGTTCAACTGCGTGGAGTTTCGCTATCGATTGCATATTTCAAATATCGCTAAAACACTTAAAACGTTGTATAAATAGAGCCCGTTCCGGGTTCACATGGGTAAGATATATCAATGTGGCGTCAGTTAGATTTAAGGTATTATCATAGGCCATTTATTTTATCAATTTCTCGATTTCTTTCAGATATATTATAGCCTACATCACTCCTGGCATTGCTTTCTATCTGTTCGTGAACTTTCATCGCAATCGGTTCAGCCATTCTGAAGATTATCACGGACAGACAAAAAGACAGAAACACTAAAATTAAAAAAAATGGTTATTTACATCTAAATGGCACGCAAATAACCCCCTCAGTTCAAAAAAAGTAATAATTTCGATAACGCACACTTTAATTTAATTTATGTTTACCTAAATAGATTTATGATGAGAAATAATTTGTCACTTAAATTATCCTTGAGCAGAAAAATATTAAACTAACAATTAATACCCTATTATCTAAACAGTAATAGCTGTCATGGAAGTGCATATAATTGGAGTTACTGGAATATCTGTGACTGAAAAGCACGAAGCCTGAGCAGCTGCAATTGTATATTGATAAACGATTAGCTTACACATTGATGAAGACGAGGCAATGGGCGGTGATCTGGAATAACAATCTCCGGTTCAATAACTAGATAGTACGTATTGTTGTCAACTCAATCAACTAGAGTTGCATTTAGAAGCTCATTAATGTTATATAGAATGATTATGTGATAATATTGAATAAAACTATTTTTACGGATTTTATCGCGTTTAATTAACTTATTTTATATTCCCGACGTTTCGGTTGCTTTCCAGCAACCGTGGTCACGGGGGACTGAGGTGATTCACGTCCCGATGTCAAAGTTAACCCGGAGTACCTTCAGCTTTTTAATTATTAATTTTGGTCCGATCTACGCAGAATGATTTACGCACGTTGTTTATTACTCGTGTCTGTTGTCAATGATTGCGTTCCGTTATTACGTTTACATTGGCGTTGGACATTTGATTTGGTTGTTAGTTTTTGGTATTTATCTATATGTTTATTTTGCATTCATTGTATTTAGTTGTTTCACGTTTGTCTAAAGTTTCCATGCAATTCTTATAATCAAATGTCGATAAAACTGTCTTTAGATCACTGGACGATTTGTCTATGGTTTTATTAATGAAACATAGATCGGTACGTTTTTGCTGAATCACCGTTATTAACAATTTTTTGCTTGCCTGATTTAAGATCTTAGCGCTTCCTCGAATGTCTTTTTTAGTAGATATCTTGACACACGTAGGAATGAGATTATGGTCTCTGCATCTCTTCAAGAAGTTTAAAGCTGTTATGTATCTTGCGCGCTTGGTTTTGAGATCTTCTAGTCGGCGTATTTTATTTGCTATTTCCAGTCCGTACTGGTTTACATAATGATTTCTTATATTTACTTATATTTAGAACATCTTAATTCCATAAACTCTAAAATTCAATTTACTATGGAGTTAGAGGCAAATAATTCTTTAGCTTTCCTAGATGTGTTAGTCATTCGAAATCCTAATAACACCGTAGGTCACACTGTGTATAGAAAAAAGACCCATACAAACCGATACTTAAACGGTGAATCCCACCATCACCCTTCACAGTTAGCTACCGTGGGCAAATCTTTGTTGCAGAGAGCACGAGGGATCTGTGACAGCAAACACCTGGCCGCCGAGCTTCAGCACGTCAAGCAGGTTCTGCACGACAACAAGCTTCGGGTTCCGCGCCTACGTCACAGTGACCGAGTGAAGCCGGCCACAGTCGAGCGTGTGCCTGCTGTACTACCATATGTCAGAGGTGTCACAGACAAGATTGGCTACATCTTGAAGCGAGCTTCTATTAGAACATTCTTCAAGCCGCCGAAGAAGATTAGTCAGTTCTTACCATCCGTCAAGTGCAATATTCCTCTACAAGATGCAGGAGTATACAAGCTTGATTGTGAGTGTGGTCTCTCATATATAGGGCAAACAAAACGATCAATAAAAACCCGCGTAAAAGAACACATAGCTGACGTGAAGCACCAACGTTAAGGAAAGTCCGGAAAGTCTGCAGTTTGTGATCATATCCTAGACGGCCCCCGTCATTACATTAGATTTGATAAACCACAAGTCCTCGCGAAAGAACATCGATTCCTGCCAAGGATGATACGTGAGGCTATTGAAATTAAAAAACATCCTAATTTCAATAGAGAGGGAGGCTGGGTACTACCACCTGCTTGGGATCCTGTAATTCATAAAATTAAAACTAAACCCAAGCATACCACTGTAAGACTTCAAGACACAGTTAGTTCATTCTGCGTACATCGGACCAAAATTAATAATTAAAAAGCTGAAGGTACTCCGGGTTAACTTTGACATCGGGACGTCAATCACCTTAGTCCCCCGTGACCACGGTTGCTGGAAAGCAACCGAAACGTCGGGAATATAAAATAAGTTAATTAAACGCGATAAAATCCGTAAAAATAGTTTTATTCAATGTGTAGTGTTCGCGTAAATATAAGAAATCATTATGTGATAATAATTATAACTTTTAACATAAAGTAAAAACCGACTTCAAATTGCCCCACCCCTTAAGTATGGGCCTATTTAATGAAAAAAATAATCATCAAAATCAGTTTTCAATCTGCGAAGATATCATATGAGATCCCTAAAACAATAGTCCAGTATGAAACTTTTTCCTCTATTTTCCACCCTTCGGGCAGAATTTTTTCTTCATAATATAATAAGGGCACCCTTGAGGTAAAGTCTATTTAATAAAAAAAGAATCTTTAAAATCGGTTAATAATCTGCGAATATATGACGTAATATATATATATTTCTTATATTTGGGGGTCATTGTAGAAGTATGCTCGTCGCGACCCCTGCCAGCCCTTTTCAGGGCTGCAATTCTACTCATCTGCGCACCCATGCCAAAGAGGGTTAGGGCGTCCCCCCAAGGCGACGCACACCAGCTCGTCCCCGTTGGTGTGGAATGCAGCGCGCAAAGCTGCGATGGGGACCGCCACCCGTCACGCACAGCCCGACACGGCGGAAGGTGGAGGACAGAGTGCAGAGTTGGCACGTGGAATGTTAGAGGAGGCATGAGAGATAAGACGAATGAGTTGATCGAAATAATGAAAGAAAGAGAATTAGATGTCGTGTGTATGTCGGAGACCAAACGGAAGGCCAGTGGTACTGAAGAGCTCCCTGGCGGGGCGTTTGCTCTATGGTCCGGAGTCCCGAAGAGCGAGAACGCCTGCCAGGGAGTGGGGGTGCTGCTGTCTTCTTGGTTGGTCGATGTTATGACTGAATATAAGTTTGTGAACTCAAGACTTCTCTGGGTTCGCTTTAAATTGGGACTGACGAAGTTATTCCTTTTGGTTGTTTATGCGCCGGTAGCTTCGTCGTCCAGGGCTGAGCTGGAGGAGTTTTGGGAGAATGTAAGAGAAGTTCTAGATTTGGCTAGGGGAAACGAAAGAATTGTTGTATGTGGTGATTTGAATGGATGGGTTGGTACCGCTCGCCCAGGGTACGAGTCAGTACTTGGAAAGTTTGGCGATAAAAGGGATAATGGTGCTGGCAAGCTTATACTGGCGGTATGCAAGGAAAAGGGTCTTCTTGTGACAAACACTATATTTAATCACAAGAAAATCCATATGTATACTAGAGAAAGAAAGAATGAGAGAAGTATGATCGATTTGTTCCTGGTGGATGACCGACTGTGAAAACAGGTTATGGATACGCGAGTGTTCAGGTGTGCTGAACTGGGAACGGATCACTATCTAGTGATTACTAGATTTAGGGGTCTGTTCGCGGGTTGGCGCTACCGGACGGCAGTGACAGAACCACAGTCGGTCTGTCGCATCCGAAGCTGGAAGCTTCAGGAAGCGGATACTAGGGACAAATATCATGCGAAGGTAGCCGAAAACCTTGACACCATCGATGGCAGAAACGAATGTGTAGAAAGAACATGGCAGAACCTTAGGGATGGAATGGTAAGTGCAGCGGAAGAAGTGTGTGGAACAATAAAAAGAGGCAGTACTAAAAGAAGAGATGCATGGTGGAATGATGAAGTGAAAGAAGCTGTAAAGAAGAAGAAGAAAGCATGGTTAGACTACTTGGCCTCTAGTAATGATAAGGATATGAAAGAGAAGATGAAAGAAAGATATAGGCTGCAGAAAGTTCACACGAAAGCATTGATTGAGGAAGTGCGTGAAAGGTGTAGAATGGAAGCGGACGAAAGGTTGTCGCACAACTTTAAGGAGAACTCCAAACTCTTCTGGAAAGAGGTTGGAAGGACCCGAAGTGGTGCGACGGCCTTAAGAATGAACAAAGTGCTTTCGAGAACTAATGACGTCCTCTCAGAAAAATCGGACGTCATGCAGCGATGGAGCGAATTTTATAGAGAAATGTATGCGTGTGATGATCTTAGTGAGGTATCCGGGTATGACGCCGTGACTGGTACGCCAGACCCGGACCTCGATGACACTGAGGTCATCAGTATGAAAGAGATTGAACGTGCGATTCGAAGTTTGAAATGTGGTAAGGCTGCGGGACTAGACAGAGTTACTGCTGAAATGGTCAAGTATGGTGGGCCTCGCGTCTGGGACAGCTTTCATCTGCTGTGCAATTTGTGCTGGCGGACGGGGGATGTCCCGGATGATTGGCGATCCGCAGTCATTGTGCCTTTATATAAAGGTAAAGGTTCACATTTTGACTACGGGTGCTATCGGGCGATCAGTTTGACCAGTTTAGCAAGTAAAGTTTACTCGAAGGTTTTGACACGTAGGATGCAAGAGAAATCGGAAAGATTTCTATGGGAGGCACAATGCGGATTTAGACCTGGAAGAGGATACACGGATCAAATGTTTTCTCTCCGCATGATCACGCAGAAGCTTCTAGCTGCCAACCAGAAGATTTTCTGTGCTTTTGTGGATCTTGAGAAAGCATTTGATAAGGTTGTAAGGAAGAAAATGTGGGAACTGTTGCCGGGGTATGGTGTGGATGGTCGATTGCTAAGGGCTGTGCAGTCTCTTTACTGTGACTGTAAAGCCTGTGTGCGGGTAGGGCATGACCTGTCACCCATGTTTAGCGTCCAAACGGGCGTAAAACAGGGTTGTGTCATGTCTTCCTGGCTGTTCATACTGTATCTCGACAGCTGTTTACAAAAGCTGAAAGATAGTTGTTTGGGTGTGAAATTGGGTGACATAAAAGTAAATTGTCTGCTGTATGCTGATGATGCAGTGCTTATTGCACCATCAGAGGCAGAACTGCAGGCATTAGTCACGTGTATGAAAGAGGAATGTGAAATTAAAGGTCTCCGTTTGAACGCTAATAAAACTAAGGTTCTGTTATTTGAAAGGGACGAAGAGAGAACGAAGTGTGAAATATGGGTAAATCAGGAATGTCTAGAACAAGTAAATGAAATTGTATACTTGGGGAGTGCTTTTAGCCGGGATGGAAGATGTGATTTAGATGTGGACAGGCGTGTCGCTGCCGGGAACAAAGTCAATGGTGCCCTGACTGCGTTAGTCAAAAGGCAAGGCGTAGTGAAGAGTGCACGCCTTGCAATACATAACGCAGTGTTGGTACCGACTTTGTTATATGGCAGCGAAACCTGGGTATGCCAGAAGAAGCATAAAAGCAAGTTGAATGCAGTGGAAATGCGATCTCTTCGTAAAATGTGCGGCGTTACCATGGCTGACCGAAAGCGAAACGAAGAGATTCGCAATATGACAGGTTTGAAAGATGACCTTATCACAAAAATTAATAAGGGCGTGCTTCGGTGGTTTGGGCACGTTGAGCGAATGAGTGAAGACCGAATGGTGAAGAAAATATATAGCGCGAAAGTTAATATTTAAAGGTGTCGAGGTAGACCGAGACTAACTTTCGAAAACCATGTGAGCAAATTGCTCGAAGAGGGTAGGGTCAAGAGTACTCGGATACCTAGACGTGCATGTATGAAGAAGATAATGAATCTGAAAGAAGCGAAAGAGTTATGTAAGGATCGTGACACTTGGCGATCTGTTCTCTCAGGCTACCCCGTCAGGGATTGTGCGTGAAGATAAGTATTTCTTATATTTATTTGACTAGAAATATTTTTATGACTCTGACATGCAGGTTTCCTCACGTTGATTTTCATCACGAGATCATCGGGAAGGACCACACTCGCACAGAATACTAGCGTAAAATAACAGCATAGTGCTGCTGTGTTTCTTACGGTGAGTGACGAAAACCGGACACATTTTTTACTTATATCGAGACATTCCATCTTTGTCTTCAGGAGTGACCACGCATCTGCATTTTGATTGTTCATCGAGGATAAATGAAAGCGTTTTTGGGCACGGCATTCAGTTAATATCAGGTAAGCTATATGTGCTCGTTTGCCACATTCATTAGACGTGAAAAGAAAACTTTTAGGTACTCCTTTTAAAGCATATTGTGCGCCCGAAGGAGGGTGACATTTGACTTATTTAGAGTTTATATGGAGAAGGAGTGCAGAATAATAAAATTAATTTAGAATATGAGTTACAAAAACATTCATTGCTTACGTTGGTATTGCCAATTTCATTGATCAAACCATACACATATTGCCTTAATGGGGGGATAATTGCCGTAGTAGCCACGCTTGGCGAGCGCGAATCACAGTTTCTTATTTTTATTTAGCTGTTATCAAGAACATCATGCTGGCTTGGTTTTCCCTTGTCGCCGCTTAAGACTTCTAGAGGATGATATTATGGGTAGCAGCTATTTTTACCACCAACCCTACACGGTTAAGTATATAACACAATAAGAATTGTCTCAAAGGTTTAATGGTTGTAATCGTGACTGCTGATTCTAAGATCTCGGGTTTAAAACACAGGTTGGGCTAAAATCATTGTTTAGAGTTTTTTTCTCAAGAAATTTTCAGTAGCAGCCTGGAGTCAGGAAGTTGGTGGTGTTTCTACCTCGTGCCTCGGAAAGCACAAAAAGCCGTTGATCCTGGCCTGATCTCTCTCCAGTCATGTCGGATTTCCGTCCAATCGGACTATGAGAGCGGGGGAATAGAGAGT